GGGTCTCGAACCCGCGGGCTCAGGCAATTCACTCACCTCAGCCTCGCAAGGCGCGGGATTACAGGCAGAGCCACCAAGCCTGGCTAGGAACTCTATTTTTCATAATGTGCATTAGCTACGTTTTCCTAGACTTATCTCAAATAGAATTTAGACCTCCAGTAATAGTCATGAATTTTGTACTGAAATGTTGATTCCAAAACCTTGCAGAGCTCTTTCAAGTTTTGAGAGAGTTGAACACTTTGGTCAAGTAATGGCATGTATATTCCTGTCCTATTGCATGATCCCTGGGTTCTGGATTGTGGGAAGTAACTGTAGTCAGCTTGACAACCTGTTGTGGAAATCAGAGGTTTGACTAGATTTCTTAAATCTGTTTATGAATGAATTTGTTCCTAATGGTTTGAGTATTTGATCTTCAATCCATGCAGCAGATATGTTGACAAGTTTTATGTACTTTTATGTACTTTAAATAGCACTTTCCATTTTTCATGCAATAAACAAAAAATTGAGCATATTTTCTGTCAGACTATATGCTAGAGGTTAGAGGGATAAAACAATTCACTTAAATTTAATAAATATGCATTGAGTTCCCATGTGCCAGCTATTTTTCTGACATTGGGTATATAATTGTAAATAAGGACATTTATTAGGGAGGATTGGCTAAAACTATTGCAAGATGAGGTTCCTTAATAGGCTATCTGCAAACTGGGCAACGAGGAAAGCCAGTAGCATGTCTCAATGAAAATCCTCAAAACCAGGGAAGCTGACATGTAACCCTCTGTCTAAGACCGAAGGCCCAAGTGTCCCCGGGAGGCTGCTGGTGCAAATTCCGGAGTCCAAAGACTCAAGAATCTAGATCATGGCCAAGGACAGGAACAAAGCATACAACTGTGGAAGGGAGAGAGAGAGAGCAAGCAAGGGGGAAACTCAGCAAGATACCTATCCACCTTATTCTGCCTGCTTTTTGTAGCTGCCCTGGCAACCACATTGAGGGTGTCTTCCTCTCCCAGTCTTCTGACTCACATGTCAATCTCTGGAAACACCCTCATAGTCACACCCAGAACAGTGCTTCGCTAGACATCTAGGCATCCCTCAATCTAGTCAAATTGGCACCTAATATTAACCATCATAGTCATTATTACAGATTTATTTTAAGAACTCTTTGGTAGATTTTTCACAGTGATGGTTATCTTAATTGATGGGAAACCTAGAGAGAGAGATAAAGAGCGAGCTTATATACACCTAAAAATGACTGTCTAAATAATACATATTTTAGAATCTAGAAATTTTGTTTATCAAATATAGATTTTATTTTCATTGTTTTAACAATTTATATACTGTCTTTGTTTTTAGAGTGGTTTTTTTGTTTTAAACTATATCACTTTTGGTTCACTTAGCCATCTCACTTCAGGAAACTCCTATTAGAGAGGATGGATTTCTTGTTAAAGGCTATGATGACATCTTGGTGGTTGGACTGGCAATATGCTGGGGTGGAAGGGATGCCTATTATTTTTCACTGCAGAAGGAGCAAAAGCATTCTGGTAAGTAACCAGTATTTAGCTAAGTCACCATAAAATTGTTGTGATATCTATTAGGGTAGTGATCTTGTTTGTAGAGAATAATTTCCCGATATTTACCTAGGATCTATTTTTAGTATTAAAAAATTGTTATTAACTTTTAGGGAGCTGCTAGTGTGCACGTTGTTGCATATATTAACAAGAATTAATTTTTTTTTTTTTTTTGAGTCAGGGGTCTCACTCTGTCACCCAGGCTGGAGTGTAGTGGTGCCGTCACAGCTCACCATAATCTTGACCTCCTGAGCTCAGGTGATCCTTCCACCTCAACCTCCCAAATAGCTGGAACTACAGGCATGCACCATCATGCCCGGCTAATTTTATTGATTTTTTTGGTAGAGATGAGGTTTCGCTGTGTTGCCTAGGCTGGTCTCGGACTCCTGGGCTCAAGCAATCTTCCTGTCTTGGCCCCCAAACTGCTGGGATTATAGGTATGAGCCACCACACCAAGCCTTGGAATGAATGTTTTAAGAAGCAGTTTCTTACTCCCCCTGGCTGTGACATGAAGCTATTAATGCTATGTTTTTGTTTTTTCCTGGGGAGCCAATAGAGCCTTGGGAACTTGCTTGCCACCATCAGGGTTTGCTTTTGAAGACTGGACCATAGCAGTTTCTTTTTTTCTCTCATTGACTAGTTCTGAAACTCATCTCGAGGCAATGTGGAGCTAGAGCTCTGTAGTGTCATACAGACTTTGGAAAAGTCTCTGGAATTGAAAAGATATGATTTGGAAATACCCCATGATCTGTTTATGGTTGTAGGCTACCCAGCTGATTGGTTGGTTTTGGACAAGAGCAAAATAAATAAGAAAACATTTTAAAGGATGCCATATAGTGTCTATTTCTTAGTAAGCATAAAGTCTTTTCACTTGTTTTGTAGGAAAATATGTTGGGGTGAGTAGTTACTTGTAGTAGTTATTTTATTTTTGATATAACATTAAATGTTCATCCTAAATATCCTTTTAAGATCTACTTCAAAATAGCTTTCCTGTCTTCAACTCCTTATTCTGAGAAATAGCATTTGTTTCTAGAAGTCTTAATATTTAGTATTTTCTCCCATGTAATTAAATAGAGCATTATAAATCTTCTAGCCCAAACGGTAATTTGTGGATTGTGAAGCCCTTCATTTACATAGCCAGTTTGTCCTGGATAAAATTATGCTGAATTATTGGTCACGTGGAACCAGACTCTGAGACTTCTGAGCCTTTTTCAGTCTTTCTACTAAAAATTGTTGTTTTAGATAAATGTATTTTTTTGCCTTAAAACTTTTTTCTTTTTCTTTCTTTCTTTCTTTTTTTTTTTTTTTTAAAGAAATTTGCGCCAGTTTGGTTCCACCTTCTCTAGATCCAAGCCTGACTGTGAAAGACCGGATGTGGCACCTTCAATCTTGCTTGCAAAAGGAATCTGATAAAGAATGTTCTGTTGTCATCTATGACTTCATTCAGAGCTATAAAATTCTTCTTCTATCTTGTGGCATCTCCTTGGAGCAAAGTTATGAAGATCCTAAGGTTCTTTGTCTTACTTCATTTTTGTATGCTTAAATTTTTTAGTGTTAATTCTTAAATGCCTTAGTATTTGTTTAGCTTCAATAATGCAGTTTAAGTCTTTTATAGTAGTCACTTCTTTATTCAATAATTTCCCTACCCAGTATAGATATCATGAACCAAACACCTGTGTAGAACAGAGATGTCACAAATTCTAAGCCTCAAAATTTATGTTTTTCCTAAGAGATTTTAAAAAACTTTTAACTTTGTTCATAAGTTCTGTTTTCTGTCCAATAAATAAATAAATTGAATTGAAATGTATTTTTGAGAACTATTAAATGAGTTAAATGAGAAATGTTAGATTTAGGTGTATGATAGCAGGATGTTTCAAATATTCGTGACAGTGGAGGCAGAAAATCAGAAATGTGTATGATTATAAGATGTAAAAAAGGATTGTATTAGGGACTATTTAGCATAGAGGCAAAGTGTCCTACTAGCCCCTGATATCTTTCCTACATGATAGCAAAGTATGGTACATGCTTCATAATGATGACTCTGAGTTATCAAGGAAAGAGTAGCTTATGTTTTGTAAATACACTTAACAGTATAAAGCATTTTCAGAAGACATTTATTTAAATATCATGACCTTTAGAGGGATATCATTTTTGCCACCTGTTGAAAAGGGATATATGAAGCAGGCAGAGTATTAAGTTAAATTTGAAAAAACTATTATTTGGTAGTTATTATCAATATAGTAAATGCTGAGAAGATATTCTGTAGTAAATAAGATCTTCCAGTTTCTTAGTTTAACTCCCCCCCGCCAAAGATTTCCAAAGGCAGCATCAGATAAGCTAAAAATATCCTTTTCTATACTTCAAGTCAGGCTGGTTTTCTGTGGCGCATCCCATGTAGTTTCTAAACTGACCTTTACTGAATATAAAGATTGTCACTTAATTTTGATAGTCTGGAGTCCAAAACAAGAATAGGTATTATGAGCCTCTCATTCAAACTACAGTAGCACCTCAGATTTATGTAACACCTTTTTCTTAAACTACTTGAAATATTCTTAAGTAGGTTTTGTTGATCACAATATTTTTGATGTAAAGATATTAAAAAATTAACTATTAATTTATAAAATCTCACTTTTATAAGAAATATTTGTCAACTTTTATATCAGGCTATATTATTCAATATTCCTCTGTAAAGCTTCTTCTTCTTCTTCTTTTTTGAGTTGGGGAGTCTCACTCTGTCACACAGGCTGGAGTGCAAGTGTAGTGGCACAATCACTGCTCATCATGACCTCCACCTCCTGGACTCAGGCAATGCTTCTGCCTCAACCCCTGGGTAGCTGGGACTACCGGTGCATATTACTATGCCTGATTAATTTTTTGATCTTTTTGTAGAGACAAGATCTCACTGTGTTTTCCAGGCTGGTCTTGAACTCCTAGGTTCAAGCAGTCCTCCTGCTGTGGCCTCCCAAAGTGCTGGAATTACAGGCATGAGCCACTGCACTCGGGCAAAACTTCATTCCTAACCTATAAAAGAAGCAACTGAGTTATACAGTAATTGTCAGAATTATGAACAGGGCTTAGATATCCTTATTCTAAATCCAGTTAATGATCTGCTAGACCTTCGCTTAGAAACTACTGGTCTCCTAGTTTCATGGAGAAGCTAAAAATAGCAAGTAAATGACCAGTTGGATAGACCTGGTGACAGATCCCCATCCCGAGAGGAAAGTCTAGTGGCTTTCTGAAAGTCTAGATATGAAATTTTAATTGTAAACGTTTGTGCCTCACTTCTTAACCTTGTAGGCCCATCTTTATTGTAGTAACTTAGCTAAAATCAACCTTAGGGGAAAAGAGTCCGTCTTTGTTTTCAGATTTGTTTCAACTTGCTGAGAGGTATTTGTTTTTCAAGCCTACTCCAGAGTTGGATCAGCCAGGAGCATTGTAGTAATGGAAAAGTTGTAACTTTTCCTTCTTTGAAGGCCACTGCTCTTATTGGTACTAGAAGTGAGTCCTGTTACAATTGTCCTTTCTTTCTCCTTTCCTGCAAAGACCACTGAATAAATATTAAGCAAAAATTAGTGAGATTAAAAATGAGCTTTCTTTTTTCTTCTTTTAATTTAAGAGTACGAAAACATCTTTGAAAAACATTAATGAAATATTTTGATTGCTATCCCATTCAGGTGGCATGCTGGCTACTAGATCCAGATTCTCAGGAGCCAACTCTTCATAGCATAGTTACCAGTTATCTTCCTCATGAACTTCCACTCCTAGAAGGGATGGAGACTGGCCAAGGCATTCAAGGCCTGGGGCTGAATGTCAGCACTGAGCATTCTGGACGATACAGAGCATCTGTAGAGTCCATTCTAATCTTCAACTCTATGAATCAACTTAACTCTTTGTTGCAGAAGGAAAACCTTCAAGGTAAAAACCAAGCTTCTAGCATTTTTATGTTAAAGACTAAGGATATTTATACTTAGCCACTCTTTAACACATGTGGATAAATTACACGTTTTATGTAAACCCTACCTTTGAATTGTCTAGTATAGGTGTCAAAAAACTTTTTTCTGTGTAAGGTCAGATAGGTGAGCCAGATGTTCTGTATTACAGATATTCAACTCTGCCATTGTAGCACGAGAGCAGCCATGGATCATAGCAAAACAAATGGCTGTCTTCTAATGGTCTTTTATTTGGTCCCAGTTTGCTGACTTCTTGCCCTTTTGTAATGAAGAAAATTAGTGGCATTTTATTCAGTTGTTGCTAATTTTATATGTGAATTTTATCAAATGATTTTCATTCACACTTAGAAGATATCCCTTATAGATTTAAAAAAGTAAACTGTTTTCTTTTTACAATTACTGACAGTTGCTTTTTAAGCAAAGAATATTCATGAAAGTCTCTTTTTCTCTCATGACAAATAACTTGAATTTACTGTTTAGTCTGCTGGCCCCGATTGAGTACCCTGACTTCAGAAAGCTTAACAGATGCTAATGATAGGCATGGTGAAGTAGAACACAGTTGGCTTGATTGTGAGGAGATTATACCATGAAATTATTGATTGCTCAATAGGTACAGAAAGTAGGCTAATGAGTTCACAGAGACCAGGGTTTGGATCTGCACTGTCTACTTATTAGCGGAGAGATCTTAGGCAAGCTACTGAAGCTCTCTAAGTCTGATTTGTATAAAGTTGTTAAAAGGATTAAATAAGATAGTGAACATAGGACAGTGTTTGTCACAGAATGGGTGCTTATTGCATTAGTTGATTTTTATAATTATTATTTTTACTGATACCACAAGCCCTCTCTGCTGGTAGTAATTTTCTCTCCAGCATCATGGGGTAGAATAACAGAGACAAAGACCAGACTGTCTTGAGTGTTCATAGGAAACGTTCTTGCTTAAGTGACGTTAATTAGCAGTTCCTGTACAGGCAATATAGTGTTTCAAACTCAGCCACTCTGTGCCAATGTAGGCAGGCCAAGGAGTGACAGTATGTGGCACTCATTCTACAGGACTGCTTCCACATTCATGAACAGTAATGCTGGATGAACACAGCTCTCTTTCTCTCTTAGTTGTCCTAGTCTGCTTCTAGGCTAGGTGTCCTAAAGAGTCTGTTTGTGTAGTTCTCAGACACTGACTTTTGGCGACGCTGATGTGAATTGATCTATAACTTTTTAATAGACATTTGTTACTCATTATCAGAATTATAAGCTTTCAGTCTGTTTGGGAGTAGACTGTTCCGTACCTAAAGACAGCTTTTACTTATTTAAAAAAAAGGAAACTGTGGTTTTTCTTTCTAGAAAAGTAGGAACCTCTAGATTTATTATTTTGAACTTTCACAATTTCAGTGTTCCTTGAAAGTGCCTTCTTTCTGCAAATTTTAGAAAGTGTGTGGCCAGCTGGGCTTGTTGGCACATGCCTGTAGTCCCAGCTACTTGGGAAGCTGAGGTGGGAGGATCTTTGGACCCAGGAGTTTGAGACCGATATGGGCATCATGGCAAGACCGCCTCTCAGCTAAAAAGTATGACTAGCAAGCATTACATGTATTTTTTTGTTGTTTGTTTGTTTTGTTGTTGGAGTTTTCACTCTGTTGCTGAGGCTGGAGTGCAGTGGCACACTCACAGCCACCGCAGCCTCAACCTGCTGGGCTCAGGTGATCCTTCCGATTCAGCGTTCCAAGTAACTGGAGCCACAGGTGTGCACCATCACACTTGACTAATTTTTTTTGATTTATTATAGAGAAGGGGTCTTGCCACGTTGCCCAGGCTGGTCTTGAACTCCTGGGCTCAGGCAGTTCTCTTTCACCTCCGTCTCCCAAAGTACTGGGATTACAGGCATGTTACTGTGCCAGGCCCTGCATTTTTATATGCTGTTAAGACTGTCTTATTCATACAATTCATAGAATTGAAGTATATTGAGAAAAGGGAAGTTTTTGGACAGAATGTGGACAACTATCAAATTTAGCTTGGAAATAATTATTTCAGGATTTGCCTGTTCGTTTTAAACTTTTATTTTATTTATTTCAGTAGTTTTAAGGAGTACAGATAGTTTTTGGTTACATGGATGCATTGAATAGTGGTGAAGAAATCTAGTTTGCTTGTCTGTTTTTTTGTTTTTTTGGTGATACTTTAATGATGGTCTTACAAGATAAGGCATCTGGTGGGTAGTGCTTGATATTTTAATGGACCTCCAGAATGTTCACCTTTTTCTTTCCTCCTCCTCTTGCTTCTTGGGTAGATTTGTTCTGGCAGCTGATTTTCTCCCAGTAGAGTCACTTTTTGTTTGGGTATGAATAAATACTAATAAGAGAGCGTGTCTTTGCTTAATGGAACCCAGGACAAAGTATTC